CACCACTCTCAACTCACAACAACCCACAACTCACCTCACACACATGAACACCACTCTCAACTCACAACAACCCACAACTCACCTCACACACATGAACACCACTCTCAACTCACAACAACCCACAACTCACCTCACACACATGAACACCACTCTCAACTCACAACAACCCACAACTCACCTCACACACATGAACACCACTCTCAACTCACAACAACCCACAACTCACCTCACACACATGAACACCACTCTCAACTCACAACAACCCACAACTCACCTCACACACATGAACACCACTCTCAACTCACAACAACCCACAACTCACCTCACACACATGAACACCACTCTCAACTCACAACAACCCACAACTCACCTCACACACATGAACACCACTCTCAACTCACAACAACCCACAACTCACCTCACACACATGAACACCACTCTCAACTCACAACAACCCACAACTCACCTCACACACATGAACACCACTCTCAACTCACAACAACCCACAACTCACCTCACACACATGAACACCACTCTCAACTCACAACAACCCACAACTCACCTCACACACATGAACACCACTCTCAACTCACAACAACCCACAACTCACCTCACACACATGAACACCACTCTCAACTCACAACAACCCACAACTCACCTCACACACATGAACACCACTCTCAACTCACAACAACCCACAACTCACCTCACACACATGAACACCACTCTCAACTCACAACAACCCACAACTCACCTCACACACATGAACACCACTCTCAACTCACAACAACCCACAACTCACCTCACACACATGAACACCACTCTCAACTCACAACAACCCACAACTCACCTCACACACATGAACACCACTCTCAACTCACAACAACCCACAACTCACCTCACACACATGAACACCACTCTCAACTCACAACAACCCACAACTCACCTCACACACATGAACACCACTCTCAACTCACAACAACCCACAACTCACCTCACACACATGAACACCACTCTCAACTCACAACAACCCACAACTCACCTCACACACATGAACACCACTCTCAACTCACAACAACCCACAACTCACCTCACACACATGAACACCACTCTCAACTCACAACAACCCACAACTCACCTCACACACATGAACACCACTCTCAACTCACAACAACCCACAACTCACCTCACACACATGAACACCACTCTCAACTCACAACAACCCACAACTCACCTCACACACATGAACACCACTCTCAACTCACAACAACCCACAACTCACCTCACACACATGAACACCACTCTCAACTCACAACAACCCACAACTCACCTCACACACATGAACACCACTCTCAACTCACAACAACCCACAACTCACCTCACACACATGAACACCACTCTCAACTCACAACAACCCACAACTCACCTCACACACATGAACACCACTCTCAACTCACAACAACCCACAACTCACCTCACACACATGAACACCACTCTCAACTCACAACAACCCACAACTCACCTCACACACATGAACACCACTCTCAACTCACAACAACCCACAACTCACCTCACACACATGAACACCACTCTCAACTCACAACAACCCACAACTCACCTCACACACATGAACACCACTCTCAACTCACAACAACCCACAACTCACCTCACACACATGAACACCACTCTCAACTCACAACAACCCACAACTCACCTCACACACATGAACACCACTCTCAACTCACAACAACCCACAACTCACCTCACACACATGAACACCACTCTCAACTCACAACAACCCACAACTCACCTCACACACATGAACACCACTCTCAACTCACAACAACCCACAACTCACCTCACACACATGAACACCACTCTCAACTCACAACAACCCACAACTCACCTCACACACATGAACACCACTCTCAACTCACAACAACCCACAACTCACCTCACACACATGAACACCACTCTCAACTCACAACAACCCACAACTCACCTCACACACATGAACACCACTCTCAACTCACAACAACCCACAACTCACCTCACACACATGAACACCACTCTCAACTCACAACAACCCACAACTCACCTCACACACATGAACACCACTCTCAACTCACAACAACCCACAACTCACCTCACACACATGAACACCACTCTCAACTCACAACAACCCACAACTCACCTCACACACATGAACACCACTCTCAACTCACAACAACCCACAACTCACCTCACACACATGAACACCACTCTCAACTCACAACAACCCACAACTCACCTCACACACATGAACACCACTCTCAACTCACAACAACCCACAACTCACCTCACACACATGAACACCACTCTCAACTCACAACAACCCACAACTCACCTCACACACATGAACACCACTCTCAACTCACAACAACCCACAACTCACCTCACACACATGAACACCACTCTCAACTCACAACAACCCACAACTCACCTCACACACATGAACACCACTCTCAACTCACAACAACCCACAACTCACCTCACACACATGAACACCACTCTCAACTCACAACAACCCACAACTCACCTCACACACATGAACACCACTCTCAACTCACAACAACCCACAACTCACCTCACACACATGAACACCACTCTCAACTCACAACAACCCACAACTCACCTCACACACATGAACACCACTCTCAACTCACAACAACCCACAACTCACCTCACACACATGAACACCACTCTCAACTCACAACAACCCACAACTCACCTCACACACATGAACACCACTCTCAACTCACAACAACCCACAACTCACCTCACACACATGAACACCACTCTCAACTCACAACAACCCACAACTCACCTCACACACATGAACACCACTCTCAACTCACAACAACCCACAACTCACCTCACACACATGAACACCACTCTCAACTCACAACAACCCACAACTCACCTCACACACATGAACACCACTCTCAACTCACAACAACCCACAACTCACCTCACACACATGAACACCACTCTCAACTCACAACAACCCACAACTCACCTCACACACATGAACACCACTCTCAACTCACAACAACCCACAACTCACCTCACACACATGAACACCACTCTCAACTCACAACAACCCACAACTCACCTCACACACATGAACACCACTCTCAACTCACAACAACCCACAACTCACCTCACACACATGAACACCACTCTCAACTCACAACAACCCACAACTCACCTCACACACATGAACACCACTCTCAACTCACAACAACCCACAACTCACCTCACACACATGAACACCACTCTCAACTCACAACAACCCACAACTCACCTCACACACATGAACACCACTCTCAACTCACAACAACCCACAACTCACCTCACACACATGAACACCACTCTCAACTCACAACAACCCACAACTCACCTCACACACATGAACACCACTCTCAACTCACAACAACCCACAACTCACCTCACACACATGAACACCACTCTCAACTCACAACAACCCACAACTCACCTCACACACATGAACACCACTCTCAACTCACAACAACCCACAACTCACCTCACACACATGAACACCACTCTCAACTCACAACAACCCACAACTCACCTCACACACATGAACACCACTCTCAACTCACAACAACCCACAACTCACCTCACACACATGAACACCACTCTCAACTCACAACAACCCACAACTCACCTCACACACATGAACACCACTCTCAACTCACAACAACCCACAACTCACCTCACACACATGAACACCACTCTCAACTCACAACAACCCACAACTCACCTCACACACATGAACACCACTCTCAACTCACAACAACCCACAACTCACCTCACACACATGAACACCACTCTCAACTCACAACAACCCACAACTCACCTCACACACATGAACACCACTCTCAACTCACAACAACCCACAACTCACCTCACACACATGAACACCACTCTCAACTCACAACAACCCACAACTCACCTCACACACATGAACACCACTCTCAACTCACAACAACCCACAACTCACCTCACACACATGAACACCACTCTCAACTCACAACAACCCACAACTCACCTCACACACATGAACACCACTCTCAACTCACAACAACCCACAACTCACCTCACACACATGAACACCACTCTCAACTCACAACAACCCACAACTCACCTCACACACATGAACACCACTCTCAACTCACAACAACCCACAACTCACCTCACACACATGAACACCACTCTCAACTCACAACAACCCACAACTCACCTCACACACATGAACACCACTCTCAACTCACAACAACCCACAACTCACCTCACACACATGAACACCACTCTCAACTCACAACAACCCACAACTCACCTCACACACATGAACACCACTCTCAACTCACAACAACCCACAACTCACCTCACACACATGAACACCACTCTCAACTCACAACAACCCACAACTCACCTCACACACATGAACACCACTCTCAACTCACAACAACCCACAACTCACCTCACACACATGAACACCACTCTCAACTCACAACAACCCACAACTCACCTCACACACATGAACACCACTCTCAACTCACAACAACCCACAACTCACCTCACACACATGAACACCACTCTCAACTCACAACAACCCACAACTCACCTCACACACATGAACACCACTCTCAACTCACAACAACCCACAACTCACCTCACACACATGAACACCACTCTCAACTCACAACAACCCACAACTCACCTCACACACATGAACACCACTCTCAACTCACAACAACCCACAACTCACCTCACACACATGAACACCACTCTCAACTCACAACAACCCACAACTCACCTCACACACATGAACACCACTCTCAACTCACAACAACCCACAACTCACCTCACACACATGAACACCACTCTCAACTCACAACAACCCACAACTCACCTCACACACATGAACACCACTCTCAACTCACCCCGAGCACGTGAATAGCCCCGCCATTCTGCTTCAGCACAGAGTTTCCTTGGAAGCGCGAGCGAGAGACATTGAGGGTGTCGTACGGCAGGAAGTGCAGCGCTCCGCCCTGGTCTTGTGCTTTATTGTCCACAAAAGTGCAGTTGTCTATGACCGTTCTCGCACGAGATGTCACTGTATTCATGGGAAAGTGGGATAGAGTGGGGGGTCGTATGAGTCAGCTTTAGCAACACAGCAAGTGCAGCACTCCGCCCTGGTCTTGTGCTTTATTGTCCACAAACGTGCAGTTGTCTAAGACCATTCGTGCTCGCGATGTCACTGTTTGCGGGGAGAAGAGGTTGGGGCGGGATTGCGTTGGTCAAAACAACGCAGAAATTGCAGTGCTCTCCCCTGGATGCGTGCTTTATTGTCCACAAACACGCAGTTGTCTACGACCATTCGTGCACGCAATGTCACTGGGTGTAGGGGCGCGAGGGGAAGGGGTCGGGACAAGGGGAGGTGTGCAGCGCAGGTATGTCTTGAGTCGGCTCAAAACGAACGTGCAGTTGTTGGTGAGTGTGCCTACTTACCATGTGACTGTGTGCACAGGCAAGAGGGGAAGGGGATGGGGAAGGGGGGATGGGAAAGGGAAGAGGGGGAAAAGCGGGTGGAGTTTGAGCGAGGTAGACTAGAGCAGCCCATGAAGTGCAGTGCAGTACACCACCTTCGTTGCATTCCCTGTTGTCGGGTTGTTTTGAGAAGTCTCAAAACAGGCCAGCACATGAAGTGCAGTGCGCCGCCTTTTTCTCATTCCCTGTTCTCCACAAACGGGCAGTGCTGCAGTGCAGCCTGTCTATCAGCATGTGCGCTGAGGGTGGGAAAGGGAAGAGGGGGAAAGGGGGGGCGGGGCGTTTGAGTGAGCAAGACTAGACCAGCATATGAAGTGCAGCGCACCACCTTCGTCGCATTCCCTGTTGTCTACAAACGTGTGGTGCAGTGCGGTCTGTCTATCAGCGTTTGTGCTGCGGGCAGGAGAGGAGGGATTACTTATCAGGCTTTTACTTTGTGATGGGCCGAGTGGGAAGGGGGAATATCAAGCGGCGGTGGGTAACTAACTAGCACTACAAATGAAAGGAGGAGTTGGTAACTCACTAGCTCTTAAATGGCAAACCAGCAGCAGGAATGTAACTCACTTGCAACACAACAACAGGACTGTAACTCACTTGCAACACAACAACAGGACTGTAACTCACTTGCAACACAACAACAGGACTGTAACTCACTTGCAACACAACAACAGGACTGTAACTCACTTGCAACACAACAGCAGCAGGACTGTAACTCACTTGCAACACAACAGCAGGACTGTAACTCACTTGCAACAACAGCAGGACTGTAACTTGTTAGAATACCATTCCTTTGCTTAAGCGTCCTCTCATATACTGCAGCCCTTCGGACCATGAGTGAATGTAACTTGTTAGAAAATCATTCCTCGTGTATCCTGCATACATCCTGAATAGTTTGAATAGATTTGGGCAACCAGACTCAGTTTGGGTGCATAACTAGGGTTTACGGTTTACCCCAGCCTGGGTAGGGAACGGGAATTCAACCTTGACCTAGTTATTTTGCCCTCAAGGTTGGGTTGGGAGATTATTGGAGGCCCGATCATCTTTTCTCACCTTTGACCACTATTATTGAACCCCCCAAGATCTTTCCAATCCAACTCATTGGTGGGGGCCAATAACGTTGGCCAAAGTAGCAACCAACCCCCCTACGCTCTCACACCTTTGTGTACCTCCATCTTCAGTCTAATGAGTTGATTCGTGTCTTGGGTCGACTCAAAACACCACCCTATGCTCTCTCACCTATGTCTGCATACCTCCATTTTCAGTCTAATGAGTTGATTCTTCTTCATGCTTCAACTTTTCTCACATAACTCACAACACAGCAGCAGGAATTTTACTCACTAGCGCCACCCAGGGAGCATTCGGAGTGGTCTCCGTTGCGCAGGAAGACGCAGTTGAGCACTTGCAGATGCCCCGTGTCCACATACAGAGCCCCGCCTTGCCCGCCCTGGGTGGAGTGGGAAATGGTACAAAAGGAGAGGGGGCAATAGGAGATACACTGGCGAGGCAAAGAGGAGGAAGAGGCAGTTGAGCACTTGCAGATGCCCCGTGTCCACATACAGGGCTCCGCCTTGCCCGCACTGAGTGGAGTGGAGTGAGTGGGGTGGGTGATGGAAGGGGCAATGGGAAATACAAAAGGCAAGGCCAAGGGAAGGAGAAGGCAGTTGAGCACTTGCAGATGCCCCGTGTCCACATACAGAGCCATGCCTTGCCCGCCCTGAGTGGAGTGGTGGATGGAGGGAAGGCAAGGGAGAAATGTGAATACATAGACAAGGTGAAGTGGAGCAATGAGGAATATATAGGCACTTGAGCACTCGCAGATGCCCCGAGTGACTCTACAAACAGGGTGCCGCCTTAGCCTGTTGATGAAAAAAGGCCCCGCCCTCGCGTGGGCGAAGCTGACTTTGCTGACTGGTGCGCAAAGTGTGCAGCAGACTAGGCTTTGTGGTTGGCGCCGACTTTGAGGAGGAAGTCGTCTGGCTTGGTTTACCGACTTCGACAAAGCCGGCCATGGAGAAGCCGACTTTGACGGAGCCGACTTCGGCGAGGCCAACTTTAGCGAAGCCGGCTAGACGCTGGCCGACATAGAGAAGCCGGTGGACGGCGTAGAGCCTCGGCGGCCGACAAAGGTGGTAGTCTAAATAGCGTCGAACGACGAGCGCTGAAGTCGGCGTCGTCTTAGCGGCCTCTTCTGGTCGACCAAATAGCCTGGTCGGGAACTGCAGGGGTGTGCGAGCTTCGCCCCATGGCACGCTGCCACCTTGCGGCGTTGGCAAACAGCATTTGTGCTGTGTTGGGAATCGACTTGCTGATTTGTGCATTCTTCAAATATCGACTTTGTCATGCCATTGTGTTCAATGTTCTTCCAATTTCCCTAATGAAATTCTTGTCAATTCTTCCCATGAACACACAAACTTGCACAAGTGATACCAACGCTCTGATCACCCCGTACCGTAGCCTCCCACGTAGTCCAGCTACCATTGTGAGTGATTCTTCTCATGACCATCCTGAGTGAAGTGGTGTGGAAGATGAAGGGAAGGAGCGAGAGCAGTTGGAAATGCATGTCCACATGCCCACATGCCTACATGCCCACACGCCTTCATGCCCACATGCCTACACGCCCACATGCCCACATGCCCACATGCCCATGTCCCCTACATGCCCACATGTTACGCTCTCTCTCACCACTCACCTGGTTCTCGACGAACGTGCAGTCGATGATGTCATAAGGCACTGTAGCGTCCATGAACATATTCGCAGCGATGGCACCGCCTTGAGTGAGGTACGTGCTGGCCTGTGCCCCGGGAGGCAGTGAGTTCACCGCCACGTTGCGCCGGAAGTAGCTTCTCTCCACCCGCATCGGCACGCCAAAGGAGAGAATCGCGGTGCCAAAGCTAGGCCCGTTGGTGACCCGGTTGTTGCGGAACGTGCAGTCTGTGACGTTCGCTGGGCCATTCAGCATCACCAGCTCTATCGCTCCGCCCTGTGAGGAGGAGCAGAGGGAAGAAGATAGGAGCAGAAAGGAGCAGAAAGGAGCAGAAAGGAGCAGAGGGGAGGAGAGAGGAAAGAAGATGCCACATATAGTAGGACTAGATAACGTGCAGTCTGTGATGTTCGCCAGACCGTTCAGCATCACCAGCTCTATCGTCCCCACCTGTCGGCAGGTTTTGAGACTTCTCAAAACTCAAAACAACCCACCCAACTGAACACCTCGTTGAACTCAAATCTGGTGTTGTGAAACTGCGGCTGCAACTCCCCTTGGAACACCGACACTCCACCCCCAGTGATGAAGGGGGCGGAGCAGTGGGCGAAGCGGCAGTGAGCGAAGGAGGCGGCAGCTGTGGTATTGAGGTGAACGCACCCCCCCACGCCCGACATGAAATCGGCCGGCTGGTAGATTGCGGAGGAGTTGAGGAAGGCCGTGTGAGATACGTTGAACGTGGACATGTAGTCGGATATTGCCCCGCCACTTGACGACTGGTGGTGGGGGGAGGGGAGGGGAGGGGGTGGGGTGAGATGGGGGGGGAGGGGAGGGGAGGGGAGGGAGGGGAGGGAAGAGGGAGAATGACAACCAGCCGCCAATGTGAGGGGAGGAGCAGTGGGCGAAGCGGCAGTGAGCGGAGCAGGAGTGCCTGGAGGAGGCGGCAGCAGAGGTGTTAAGGTGCACGCATCCCCCCGCACCCGACATGAAATCGATGGGCTGTTAGACCACGGAGGAGTTGAGGAAGGCCGTGTGAGATATGTTGAACGTGGACATGTAGTCGGATATCGCCCCGCCACTTGATGACTGGTGAGGGGAGAGGAGGGAAGGACAGAGAGGGGAGAGAGGAAGAGTGAGACATTGGGCTGCACACAGCGTGTGTTTTTTGAGAATTCTAAAAAAACACACGCTCAAACATATAACCCTCCCACGGAGATTGGGCTGCACACAGCTCCCACTGCTCCCGTTGAATTGAGCGTGGACATGTAGTCGGATCGGATATTGCCCCTGCCTCTTGACGACTGGTGTGGAGGACAGGGGAGGAGTTGAGGAAGGCCGTGTGAGATACGTTGAATGTGGACCTATGTGACGGAAGACGCAAGACGCGTCTTGCGTCTAGCGTCTAGACGCTAGACGCTAGACGCGCGTTTAGACGCTAGACGCTTGGGTAAATATTTTTCGGTCAGCCCGAAAAAAAAAATCCTCGATGAGGACGACGTGTGCCTCGATGAGTGGGAGGGGCAGGAGGAGGAGGAGGAGGAGGAGGAGGAGGAGGAGGAGGAGGAGGAGGAGGAGGAGGAGGAGGAGGAGGAGGAGGAGGAGGAGGAGGAGGAGGAGGAGGAGGAGGAGGAGGAGGAGGAGGAGGAGGAGGAGGAGGAGGAGGAGGAGGAGGAAGAGGAGGAGGAGGAGGAGGAGGAGGAGGAGGAGAGGTAGGAGGAGACCTAGTGATTGCAGGGATGTAGTAGTAGCTATTTACTTCGTGTCTGCCACTGCTAGAGAGACGTGGTTCCCTAACTATGTATGATGAGAAATGAGGATTTTTGTGAACTCTAAATATGGGGAAAAGCTTTTGGTACGGCGGAAATTTGACCCAAATGTGCCATATGTGCATGTCCCCCACCCTCCCCATGGCCCTCAGAAGTTTTTTTAGGCTGACCGAACATTTTTTTAGGCCTGCCTGGGTTTTCGTCTAATATGCGTCTAACCTAGGCGGAAATGCGTCTAGCGTCTTAGACGCTGCGTCTAGACGCAACCGTCTAAGACGCTAGACGCGTCTTCCGTCACATAGATGGACATGAAGTCGGATATTGCCCCGCCGCTTGACGACTGGTGGGGAGGGCAGGGGAGGAGAGGGAGAGGGAGGGGAGGGCGGACTCTCACTCGCCATGCACCCTCCCTTCCCCGACAAGCACCCTTATCCCACACCCCGCACCATGCATCCTAATCATGTGCGTACCAAGCCCCGTTGGAACAAGGAGAATTCGATCGTGACATTCGAGCTCTCACTCGCCATGCACCCGCCCTTCCTTTCTCGCCCCATCCCCTTCCCCCCCATCCCCACTCCTACTCACTGCATCCTAGTCACGTATGTACCAATCCCCATTGGAACAAGGAAAATCGGATGGTAACATTCGAACTCTCACTCGCCATGCACCCTCCCTTCCCCGCCACATCCCCTGCAGATTCCATCCCCGGACCCCATCCATCCTGCCCCACACTCCACATCCCACACCACACATCCCACATCCCACATCACACATCATACATCAGACCCCACACATCCCACGCCACACATCCCACCCCACACCACACATCCCACCCCACACCACACATCCCACCCCACGTACCAAGCCCCCTTGGAACAAGGAGTGGAGAATCGTAACATTTGATGCCTCACTCGCCATGCACCCCCCCTTCCCCGCCACATCCCCTGCAGATCCCATCCCCGTCACCCAGCCATCCGTGGACCCTCCACCACTACCCCCTTGTGCAGCGGGACTAGTATCCGCCCCAGTGTAACAGTCATCTATTCTCGCCTCGCTTATAAGCACACTCGATTCAAGCACAAAGAGGCCCCCGCCTCTTGTTGTGATTTCTCCAAGGGCTCTACAGCCGGATATGACTAGGCCGGTGGCAGTAGCTGTAGTACGGTACACGGCCAATCCTCCCCCGGTATGCCAGATAGGGGCATTGGCTGCTGCATCTGTTGATGCTGCTGCATCAGCGCCTGGTATTGCTGCCCCTGCTGCTGATGTTGCCATTGCTGCTGCTGCTGCGGTTGCAGCGGCTGCTGCTGATTTCGCCGCAGCGATTCTTGCTGCGATCACTGCCATTGCTGCTGCTGACCTTGCTGCTGCAGCGGCTGCTGCATTTCCTGTTGCTGGTCTTGCTGGTGCTGTGGCAGCTGGGGTTGCTTCCAACGGCGTTGCAGATAACAAGGAGGAAGGTGATACAGATGCAGAAGGTGTTGCTGATGCTGATGATGCCTCCTGGAAAACGGCTGAGGGATGGAAAGCAGAAGCAGTCTTGTTGGCAGTAGGTGCGTGCAAGGAGACCGAGCAGTTCCGGATTGTGACCTGGCGCATTGTGATTGGCTGTGGCGCGTCGCTGATGTGGATCCCGCCTCCTGACTCGGAGGCATGGCAATTGGAGAGAGTGAGGTCGCTGGTGGGGTAAGAGGGTGGGGAAGAGAGGAGGGGAGAGAAGGGGAGAAGGTGCGGGAAGGGGTAGGGTAGGGGAGTGCAAAGGGTGGAAGGGGGGGGATAGAGGGAACAGGTGAGGGAAGGGAAGCATGGCAGTTGGAAAGAGTGAGGTCACTGGTGGGACATCGGGGGGTGGGGGGAGGGGGGAGAGGGGGGAGGAGGGGATGAAGGGAGGGAAGGGGGGGTTGAAGGGGGGAAGGGGAGGGGGGAAGGGTAGGAAAAGGGGGAGGAGAGGGCAAAGGGTGGATGGGGTGGGTTAGCGGGGACAAGGGGGCGCTGTTGTGGTAAGGGGGAGGAAGGAGGAGGGTAGGGAGGGGGGGGAAAGAAGGGGAAGAGGAAGGTGAAGGGGGAGAGAAGGGGGAAGAGGAGGGGGAAGAGTAGGGGGAAGACGAAGGGGAAGGGGAGGGCAGAGCAGGGCAGGGGATGAGACGCTTCAACAGGCATGCAGCTGGAAAGGGTGGGGTAGGGATGAGCAAGGGGCGAACACGAACGTGTTCGCGTTCGCCCCAGCTCGAACACTGCCATTCGGCGAACCGAACAGTGTTCGGTTCGCCGAACACCTTTCACAAAAAATGGTGTTCGATGTTCGCCTGTGAGGGCGAACATCTTGCATGCTAAGGCGAACACGAACGCGTTGGGGGCGAACACGTTCGTGTTCGTCCCTGGGCCATCCTTTGTTACGCTCGAAATACGCAACGGCGGGCAGGGGAATTGCGGGAAACTGGGGGAAAATATCTAGGCTGGATCAGCATTTTACGAGATCTAGTTACGGATCCATAGCTTTTTTAATCCAGCTCGCCACCTGGATTTCCCCCCACGCAAGGCGAAACGCTCCCCCCCTTCTATATCTACGAAATTTGCGATTGCTCGCCAACCCCCCACAACCCCCCAACTCACGAAATATGCGAACGGTATTCCTCTCAATCCCATGCATCAAAATTTGCGAATGCTACCCCCAACCCTCAACTTACAAGATTCTGCGGTATCCCTGTCTAATCTTTTCCCGAAAACCTAAATCTCGCGTACCCAAGTCTAGACAGACTAACCTATGGTAACTACTTATTTACGCTAAGTCCTACTGAGGTGATAACGGCGTGATGTGGGGGGGGTGGTAGTAATGGCTGCTGCTGAACAGCGCGACTAAGTTTGAGCTCAAATTTGAGCTCAAACAGAATGTCCCGCAACGTAAATTGTAGATCGCGGGACAGTCGCGTCGAACACATTCGTGTTCGTTTTTGCCCCGAAACGAACACGAACGCGTTCGTGTTCGACGCGGCTCGGCAGCAGTAGCGGGGCGAACACCGAACGTGTTCGGGCGAACACCGAACACGTTCGCCCCGAACATTTTTAGCAAAAAAAAAACCCTGTTCGGTTCGCCTCGAAGCTCATCCCTAGGGTTGGGCCGCTGGTGGGATACCGGGGTGAGGGAGGAGGGGCTATTTTTGAGTCGATTTTTTTTTAGTCGACTCAAAAAAAGAAAAGAAGAGGTGGAAGGAGAGAGAGTAGGGGAGGAGAGAGGAGAAAGAGGAAGAGGGGGGAAGGGTAAAAAGGGGATGAGGAGATGGGAGGGGAGGAATAGCAAGAGAAAAGGGGTTGCAAGTTGCCTCGAGGAAATCTGGATTGAGGTGACTTGCCAGCTTCTCCTCTTGCAACCGCACCGCACTTCACTGCACTACACTACACTGCACTGCACTGCACAGCACTGCACTGCACTGCACTGCACTCACTGCAGTCCACGCCTCACATACCACCAAAACACTCCTCTCATCTCACCTCAGTGCCACGGTCACCCCTTGGAAAAGCATGCAGCCGCCCTTGCCATTGCTCCGCCCATTCACCACCTGCAGCCGCGAGATGGTTATCAGAGGGCTGCTGCACGCTGCCTCCCCGCGCACCAAGTGGCAGCACCCTTCCCTTCCCATCTCATCTCATCTCATCTCACCTCAGCGCCACAGTAACCCCTTCAAAGAGCATGCATCCGCCCTTGCCATCGCTCCGCCCATTCACCACCTGCAGCCGCGAGATGGTTACCAAAGAGCTGCTGCACGCTGCCTCCCCGCGCACCGGCACTGCTGCAGCCACCGCTGCTGCTGCTGCTACTGCCGCTGGTTCTGCTGCTGTGGCCGTCGCTACAGCCGTTGTCGCTTCAGCCGTTGCTACAGCCGTCGCCATAGCATCACCAGTGCCAGCAGCAGCAGCAGCTGGGTCAGTAGCAATCAAACGGGAGGGTGGGGACGAAGCGGAGGAGGGAGGAGAAGCACCGGAGCAGAGCGCTTGTAAGCAGGGGCCGTGGGAGCAGTCAATAGTGGCAGGGGGGAGGTGGAGAGGGGGACCGAGGATGGAGAGGCGGAGGTGGGGCAGGAGGAGAGGCGAGGGGGAGGAGTGTGTGTAGGTGCCTGATGCAACGTGGATGGTGGCTCCTTCTGACGCACTGTGTGGGTGGGGAGTGTGGGGTGGGGGGGTGAGGAAGGTTGGGGCATGCGGACGTCTCAAAAGGAGAACAGCACAGCTAGTGCCATGGCAATGGCAAAGCGGTGGAAGAGGAGCAGACAGAGGCTTTTGCGTTCAAAGGGATGCAGGAGACGGGTGCTGGAAATGAAATGTGAATGCAACAGAAATGAAATGAAATGAAATGAAATGAAATGAAATGGAACATGAGAGGTGTTGGAAGGAAGTGGTGTTGGGAATGAGCAGTGTCATTGGGAATGAGTGTTCTTAAAAGTGAGTGGTGTTGAGACCAGAAAGCGTACCTGTTAAGGGCAGCTTGCAGAGAACCTGTGTAGCAGACAGGAGAGTGCAGAGATGGGAGGCGAGAGGAGCGAGAAAGGGGAGAGGTTTTGATAGGGGAGAGGTTTTGATATGAGTGGCGGATAGGGGAGTGGTTTGGGGGCGAGGCGACTGGCGAATTGCATGCAAGGAAAAGGAAGGGAGGTGTATGTGAAGGTGAGAAGAAAGCGGTAGAAAGAATCGATTTTGAGAGAATCAATTGAGGGCTGCTGAACTCACCGCACGGCTGCTGAGGGCTCTGGCCGCAGCAGGGTGTGAGGAGGCCCCCCACGGCCACATAGACAGTGGCAGTGGGTTTGGCGCAAGGGGCGGTGGCACCTGGGGTAAAAGAGAGCCCGATGGGGAAAGATGGGGAAAGATGGGAAGGGCGGGGGCTCTGGCTGCAGCAGGGTGTGAGGAGGCCCCCCTCGGCCACATAGACAGTGGCAGTGGGTTTGGCGCAAGGGGCGGTGGCACCTGGGGTAAAAGAGAGCCCGGTGGGGAAAGATGGGGAAAGATGGGAAGGGCGGGGGCTCTGGCTGCAGCAGGGTGTGAGGAGGCCCCCCTCGGCCACATAGACAGTGGCAGTGAGTTTGGTGAAGGTGGTACCTGGGGCAGGGGGAGCCAGATGGGGGGGGGACATAGGGAAGATTGGGGCTCTGGCCGCAGCAGGGTGTGAGGAGGCACCCCTGGGCCACGTAAACAGTGGCGGTGGGCTTGGGGCAGGGGGGGGTGGAATCTGGGGCAAGGGGGAGCTAGATGGGGGGACATGGGGAGGATGAAGAAGGGGAAGCTTCTGGCCACAGCAGGGCGCGAGGAGACCCCCTGGGCCACGTAAACAGTGGCGGTGGACTTGGAGCGGGAGGGGAACCTGGGCTTGGAGCGGGAGGGGAACCTGGGCTTGGAGCGGGAGGGGAACCTGGGCTTGGAGCGGGAGGGGAACCTGGGCTTGGAGCGGGAGGGGAACCTGGGCTTGGAGCGGGAGGGGAACCTGGGCTTGGAGCGGGAGGGGAACCTGGGCTTGGAGCGGGAGGGGAACCTGGGCTTGGAGCGGGAGGGGAACCTGGGCTTGGAGCGGGAGCAGGAACCTGGGCTTGGAGCGGGAGCAGGAACCTGGGCTTGGAGCGGGAGCAGGAACCTGGGCTTGGAGCGGGAGCAGGAACCTAGGCTTGGAGCGGGAGCAGGAACCTGGGCTTGGAGCGGGAGCGGGAGCCTTCTGTTACAGACAGTGGGGGCTCTGGCAGCAGACAGTAGGGTGTGAGGAGGAGGCCCCCCTTGGCCACGTAGTAGACAGTGGGAGTGGGCTTGGTGCAGGCGGTACATGGGGCAGGGTGGGTAAGATCATAGGGGCGATGGGGAAGATGGGGAGATGGGGAAGATGGGGAGATGGGGAAGATGGGGAGATGGGGAAGATGGGGAGATGGGGAAGGTGGGGAGATGGGGAAGATGGGGAGATGGGGAAGATGGGGAGATGGGGAAGATGGGGAGATGGGGAAGATGGGGAGATGGGGAAGATGGGGAAGATGGGGAAGATGGGGAGATGGGGAAGATGGGGAAGATGGGGAGATGGGGAAGATGGGGAGATGGGGAAGATGGGGAGATGGGGAAGATGGGGAGATGGGGAAGATGGGGAAGATGGGGAGATGGGGAAGATGGGGAAGATGGGGAGATGGGGAAGATGGGGAGATGGGGAAGATGGGGAGATGGAGAAGGCAAGGCAGGTAGTGGAGTCGGGAAGACGGGGAAGGGGACGGCATTGGCTGTGACTTCCAGTGCGGAGCTTTATTGCGAGCGGATCTTATTGCGGACTACAGAATATTGCAAGATTGTGCCGCAGTACTGGGATGTTCATACGGCGCGGCTCGGGAAAAACCCCGCCCACGCCTTGGGATGCACGGGGCGCGGAGACATCGGGGGACGCGTGAGGCAAAGTCGGCCCTCCAGAAATCCACCAGTTTTGGACCTTGCGCGGCCCTGCGTGGCTCAATGAAACCCACCAGGTTTCCACCGAAAGCTCCGCGACCCCCCCAAAAACCGAAAGAACCCACCTCGTTCTTACGCGCCAGTGCATTCGCGACTCGGGAAAAAACCAACGCGATTGGTCGGTAACATTGGCAGACGGGGAATTCCTCGCATGCAACTGCGCGATCGCGGAAACAAGGAGCGCTACCACTGGTTGCGAAGTCCCGCATCATATCGCGAACTCGGTTCGCCCATGGAAAGGCTTGGAAAGCGCGATGCGGAACTCGGTTCGGAAACACCTGGCGCGATCTGGTAGGCTCCATGCAGGCTGACACGTGCATCAAATTGTACGAGCCACACAGCTGTCGCTGTGTGGTCGAGACGCGATCGGGGTAACGTGTCGTGCACGTCCACGCAGTGACCGGTCATTACTCCCATCAGGCCCACATTTTCGCTTTCCGCACGCCAGTTGCACAGCAAGCTCCTCCCTCTAATGCCACACTGGATTCACCAGACTACGGCCGCGTTAACAACGTGGGCCGCGTTCGAGTGTCAGTGAGCACAACGGTCGCGTTGTACTGGTGTAATCTTCACACCCGGTTGTCCCAGTAGAGATCGCGCATGATGTTGACGCACGCAGTAAATAGGAGTAGGGGCAATTTCGCCCGCTGCATGCATACCGTGAATCGCGTCGCGGCGCCGATACTTGACGCCTCCTTCAATGCTTCGGGCAACACTACCGCGGCCCAAATCCATCCTGCTGAACCGCCCAGCGCACCCGTACATAACATGCACGAGCACATCGCCACATGGAGCACCCCATACGTGCAGCCTGCGGTTTTTGGGACGCGTTTGCCCGCGTTCCATCCACAGCAACTGGTCAACGGGCTCCACCTAGCACCGCGGACACAGATACCGTTTGCATCGTCAACGGTCGCGTTTCATGCCCAGCAGGATGATTTGAACTCGCGTGGAATATCCACGCCGCATCCCGGGCAACAGATTGATGAACACACCGCGTCCGCGTCCATTCCCTCAAGCCAGCTCTTTGGGATGCCCGTGCGTGGCTTCGTAGGGCCGCAGTATGGGAATGTGGGATTCAGATACGGGTACATAGGCGTTCAGCCAGACCCCATGCTGCACGCGCCCGGGGCTGTCGCGACGCCTCCAGTCGCGCCGTCAACCCCATTCCCCAGCACGAATCATCCGGAAATCCAGGCAACAGTGCAAGCCCCGCGGGACCGGATAGAACCATTAGTGATGGGCGTGGAAACCCATGTGCGTGCAGAAGGCCCAGTCGCGGTTCCCGATGGTTCAGTGCGTGCGGAGAATGTTGGAGCGGGGATGGATGCAAGTGCGCGTGCACATTCGCCGCCAATATGGAACGTGAACTCGCTGTTGCCGGGAAACCCGGACGTCCACATCCGCACCGCCGCGCACCCGACCGCAGCGGACGAGAACGGTGTAGGTGAACAACCACATGCTTACGCGGGGAACGCGGGACGAGGAGCGCATGCAGGAGGAAACGCGGGAAGAGCGAGAGGGACTAGTGCAAGGGGAAACGCGGGAAGAGGAAGAGGGACTGGTGCGAGTGGGAACGCGGGAAGAGGGGCAGGTGAGAGTGGGAGAGGTGCGAGAGGAAGGGGTGGGAGAGCGAGCGCGGGACGTGGGACCGGTGTGGGACGGAACGGAGGTAGTGCGAATGGGCGGAGAGCGCCTGGGGTGGTAGGCAACGGAGGCAGAGGTACCGGTGTTAACGCGACCGGAGGTACCGGGAACGTGCCAGTCAGTAGACCGCGTGTAAGGAGGCGGCGAGTCGAAGTCGTGCCTCCCACGGCACGCGACGGATCGATGGAGGTGAGTGAGGGGGAAAGCGACGAAGATGACGAGGACGACGCTGACGATGAGGACGACAGTTGGAATGACGATGACGAAAACTACCTGTCGAACTCGCTGTCCGCGCTCAACGAGGGGGAGGCGGAAGATAACGAACGGGTGCGGGGTACGCGAACGGACTTGGAGGTCCCCATCGCGGACTGGAACAGGCTTGGCGTGGACGACACGCCGGCCGCGAAAAGAGAGGTGTGCATGGGCATCCTCTACGGTGTCTCGGAGGCCACGCTGAAGAAATATCGCGGTTGGGCAAGAGAGTACAAGCTCTTCATGGCGCAAGAGCTGCCAAAACTGGACGCGAATAGGTTCGGTGAGGAGGCCGCGTTGGAAAACGCGAACCCCGACGAGATCGGGGCCGCGCTCGAGCAGAACATGGGTAGTGACTGGAAGATGGCCAAGGGCGACGAGCAGTGGTTCCACGGCCCTGAGACGAATCCGTGGAGGTTACGCAAATACGTGACCTTCCTCGCGAACGAGACGGTCGCACAGGCGGACAGGATGGCCACGCTCAAGCGGCCCAACAAGACCTTGAAGAAGAGACGCCAGTGCTCCCCTGCAATGCTGATGGGGCGTCTCAAGGCTCTGAACATGCTCATCAAGCTGGACGGGGCCATCTTCAGGAAGCCCGTGCTGAATTTGTTGCGCGACTTTGCGGAGTGTCGCATCTGGGTCCGCGTTCAAGTACGCGACCAATACAAGCGGTTTATCTCGTAAGTTTACACACGCATTGACTGCGTATGTCCAACTAAACCGCGTTCACCTGCATACTCACTCTCGTCCAACTGGTTGCGCAGGGAACACATGGATCGCCATCGGGGCACGGCCGCGGACACGTACAACCCGGACGAGTTCAAGAAGATGATGCGGAAGACCAGCATGGCCGCAATCTTGAGCAGCTTCACACTAGCCAAGCAACAGTACATCCAGGCACTGCATCGCGACCTCTGCATCCGCACGATGACCGTCCTCGGTCATCACACACTAGCCCGCGGCTGCACGATCAGAAACCTCCAGCTTCCAGACATGATGATGTGGAAGCTCGGCGCAAAATCCGAGACGGATCCAGTGCGGAAAGCGTTCGCGTTTGTCTGCGCGTGCAGGACGGGCAAGACAAACAAGGACTTCTCGCTCAACTACATCTCGGCAGTGAGACACATAGACTGGACTCTGTGCGCGGTCGGAGCCACGCTGCTATGGCTGCACTGGGTGTACGACTTGGTCCCCATCCTCTACGGGGACATAGCCCCCCCTCTCGACTTCACGGAACCCTCGACGTGGTACGACCAGTACCCTTCTTCCCCCTTCGCGCGGGCACCGAGAAGCAGATTCCGCCGACAACTCATCACGACTGGGCGGCGAAGATTCTGGGGGACGCGGGAATCACATGCTCGCGTGTGGTTCACGCGACCAGGGCTGGGGGGGCGCAGCACGCGTCCGCGGACGGAATGCCCTCCGATCAGCTGGCGAGACTGGGGGGGTGGCGCTTCATCGACGTGATGACTAAGCACTACCTCACAACTATTCCGAGGGAGGCCGTGCTCCTGAAGGCTGGCTTCACAGGGGTTGATGGTGACTACTTCCAGGGTCGCGCAGCTGTACCGCCGAGCGAGGCGCTGGAGAAGCTGCTGAGGAAGCACATTTTCCCCTGGGCCGCCGGGGATAAAGGGCAGAAACAGGTATGTGTGGGCCGCGCATAGTAGTATCAACACACCGCGATCAGTCCACATAACCCGCAGGCTCCGCTCTAACGATCTATCGCGTTGTTGTGTTGCACAGTGCCATGATTACAACAGCAAGATGGTCAAAGAGAAGAAGCCGGAGAAGCAGGACACCGCGGGGCTAAACATACTGAAGGAGCTGGATGGCGAGGCTAGGATGGCGGTCGCACAAGACCTGGCCATGTATTACATACACCAGCCGCGACACCCGTACGTGGTCAACAACCCGCTCTGCCAGACAGAGGAATTTGCGCGGTGGGCAGCAGATGTCTCATTGGCAAATCAGCTGGCCATAGTTCAGCGTAACACACCTACACTGACACAGCCCGCGGTGCGTACTGTTTGTTCGCGTTACTAGTTCGGCTGTCATGTCCATGCGTACAAATCACATTTTCCGCGTTCGCGTTCTGTGTATGCAGGAGGTCAGTACCAGGATGGACGCGCAGAACCAAGTGGCCTGCCTCACTGAGTACCTGACACGTTCAAAAGCGGACAACACAAGGCTGGGCGTAGAGCTGGCCGCGACCCAGAGACGGGTGAAAGAGCTGGAGGGGCTGCTGGAAGATCGCGACCGGAGGCTGGCTGAGAAGGACGAGCGCGTGAATGACCTGGAAGCCCAGCTGTCGCGTCTCACCGTGAGCAGCTCAGGGCCGACCGCGGATCCGAGTCCGGCAAACACTTCCGGAGCCGCGGCCGCGCCTACCAATTCCGCAACCCCCACCGACCAGGGGACGCGTAAGAAACCAGCACAGCCGACCAGGGAAGAGACAATTCGAGACGCGATCATGAAACCATGGGTCAACGCGACCAAGCCGTCGGATGGATGGAAGCTGTACAGGTCCACGCACGCGCTGGTCGGCGAGAGTCCAGAGTCGCTCCTGGCCCAACCCCGCGGTGCAGTTACGCGAATGGCCGAGCTGATTGGGAAGGAGGGAGGCGGCCAGAACGCGATAAACCGTGTAAAGCGAGTCATGGACTTCATCTCCCGCAGGGTGGAGCAGGGAGACAACGTCGCGGTCGTGCTCGACAAGCTCGACCTCGTGTCTCAAGCTGTGGGCATGTCGGGTGTGTCGGAAGGGATCGCGGTGAAGAAGAAGAGTGTTGACCTGAACCTGAGCGAGCTGAAGAAGGGTTCCCCGGCGGAGGTGCAGTTGCGGGTGAAATGGATGCTTGTACGCGACCGCTTCATCGATGCCTCTCTTCCTGCGTCAGAGTTCCCGACCGCGTGGCCTCAGTACTGTGCCCAGATGCCTCCGTTAGCTTAGTGCTTGAGATCGCGATCACGGGACATAGTTTGTCAGGCTGTTCACTTCGCGTCGTGTGTGTAATGTAGGATGAGTGTTGACCAATGGTTCTTTAATGTTCAACGTACGACATGTGTGTGTTTCCCATTGAATCGCGTTCGAAAAGTGCATGCTGCTGACCAATAATGTTGACGAGCTTTTGTTCGCGGTACACGTCCGCGGTAATCTCCGCGGTAGTCATGATTCTGTGTTCAAGCACATATTGTTCCAAATGTCAACACTATGGTCTCACGCTAATACACACACACACACACACACACACACACACACACACACACACACACACACACACGTACACTATACTACATGCACACATGTCCGCAACATGAACAACAATCCACCGCGAGTAGAACTCAAGCAGGGTGGACAGGCTGCGCACACGCGACGCGACACTACACGCACTCAGGTCCGCTTCTTCGGACGATCCTTGGGCAGGGCAAGGTAAAGCCCAATGGCCTCCATGACCTTCCCTGCAACCGAGCAGTCGCACCAGGTGATGATAACGTCCACCGTTTCGCGAGCAGCCATCTCAATGTGCCTGAGGTCGCGAGACTTGGCGACGACGTCGTTCACGACTTCAGATGCAATCGCCTCCGCGACCACCTTCGGATCCGCGACTACCTTCGTCTCGTCGTCACCAGCTTGCTTCTCGCGAGAATTGCGCCTCCGCACAGCCCTGATGACGTACGCGGTTACAACGGGGAACAGACGGCATCGATCCCTCTGGCAGTTAACCGCTCGCGCGGCCAAATTGCCAGAATCCGACGCGGTCGAGACCGCAGAACCGCGCGTCAGCTCCCACACCATTGCGATCGCGCACGCGATCGCTCCCGCGTAATCCCTCGGATCCACATCGCGGTAGAGCTCCGTCTCTTCTGCAGCAGCCTCCGTGCCCACCACCGCGGCCCATGCAATCTCGTTGGTGGTGGTCGACCCGGGCTGGGTCAGCTCGCGGTAGTGTTTGAACATGCGGGTCCACCTGCCACGCAGTGGGTGTAGCGGCCAGAACACGATAAACCAACCCCGCACCCCCATCATACACGACCGTATGAACGCTGTAGATAATGTGGTATGGTACCGCTCACCTTTCCCTGCTGGCCACGAGGTTGCGGTGATGCATGGTGATGAGGAGGCCCGTGTGTAGCCCCTCGGCAGCGGACAGGTCCGCGGCCCACTCCCGCATCTGCTTAGAGCTGAGGTGCAGCCCGGGATCCACCTTCAGGTCGTACGGCATCATCGCGACTGCGGTCTTGTACTGCAGGTCGTCGCGGTCGCCTTGTCCAAGCCACCGCTTTTTCCCCCCCAGATGCGGTTCAGAAACCAAGCCAGGACCGCCCCCGGGAGGATGGCGGATACCACAGCCTTTGCGCTTGCTGACTGTGTCACCCTGTCCCCCCGTTGGGCCACTTGGCACGACCACGGGGTCTTCGTCCTGCTCGTCCGCGCTCTCCCCGCCGCTATGAAGTTCGACCGCGTCCACCACACCCTGCTCTCCTCCGTCGCCCTCCTCCCCGACCCACCGGCTCGCGAGATTCTCGAGCTCTTCGTCCGCATCGTCCTCGTCGATGGTGTACACTGGTGGAGGGGGCAACTTCTTGCCTCGCCCGCGTTTTTCCGTCTTGGCCTCGCCCGCGGCCACGCTCGGACCTGCAGATGCCAGCGCGCTGTGCAGATGTCCCGCGGTGATCGCGGAAAGAGCGGGTGCGAGAGCGGTCTGCCTTCCATCCGCCGCAGCAGCCGCCGCGGACTGCCCCTCACGCCTCGCGGCCAGCGAACCCGCAGCGGCCGGCACCTCTCCCTCCTCCACCTTACCCTTGCCCTTACCCACAGCGGTTGTCACTGTCGCGGCTGCCCCGGCAGGACCCGGTGGAATGGGTGCGGCTTCTCCAGGTGGGATGGAGCGCGAGCTCGACCCAGGTTGACCAGGCGGTACAGCTCCTCGCGATGCAGCGCCCCACTTGTTCTTGAGAATGTCATGCACGCTCGGGTGGCGCACCGCGGCCGCTGCCTGTGGACCCCTCTGCCTCTTCGGGCCCCGCTGACTCTCGCCCTTCACACCCGCCGCCCGCTTTCCATGCTCAGCATCCCCGGGCTCGGCGGTGTCCGTCGCGGCTGGTTCACCATTGTCCGTGCGCGCGGGTGGGCTTCCTCCGACGAGCGCGATGAGGGTGTGCAGCGCGTTGGTGACCCCGCTGGTTGTGATTGCCCGCTCGGCTGTCGCGGACACCGCGGTCGACATGTTGTCGATCTTCCGGGCAACCTCGTCGGTCAACTTCTTCTGAGCGGTTTCGAGGGAGTTCCACCCCCTGCAGCTGACCCAACCTCGCGTCCACGCGCCTCAGGACCAAGGCCTCCTGGTTGCGCGTATCGCACAGCGCCGCCCTTTCGAACGCGACCGCCTTCGCCTCCTTCTCCAACAGCCTCACCGCATGAGCAAGCGCAGTCGCGATCTCCTCGGAGCCCACGACCGCCACCCCACCAGCCACCGACTCCTGACGATTCTTCAGCCGTGCGATCTCTTCCGCCTGCGCTGCAAGCCTGCAGTCGAGCTGCAGGATCTCGGCTGCTAGCTTGTGCGATGGCAACGCGGACAGGGATTTGTGATCACGGGCACCAGTCACGGGACTCTTGCCCGCGACCTCACCACTCGGTCCCGCGCTTCCAGCACCGGGTGCCAAGTGCTGCGCGAGGTGCCTGATGCTCTTGCCGGACGTGGTGGGCCTGTTGGCTGCCCCGGCCGCGACCACGTGAGCCCCCGCCTCCTCCTCGCTCGACTCCTCCCCCTCACCCGCTGCAGTGCGGTCAGCCTCTTCGCGGGGTGCACCCTTTGTCGCGGTATCCTCTGCCCCGTCGTCATCAGCGTGGACCACCGTCCCCCCGCGAGCACCTCCGCGGCTCGATACACCAGCGGCACCTGTGAGAGCGAGAACACCATGGTCAGCAACCCGCGCACCCGTTGTTACTTTCTGCATGTTCCCCGTTTCAGCCCCATCAGCCTCACCGCCGTGTTTGGTTCGCGGCAAATCCACGCTCAAGTTGAACGCGAGCTCTTCGGCGGTTTGGTGGGCCTCATGCCGCAGTGCATTCAGAGTCTTCGCGGTAGGCCTCGAGAATTGCGGCCCGGTTCCATTGGCAGCAACCGCGTCCAGCTGCGCAAGTATCTTGTCGAACGCGAACAGACAAGCGAGGTTGCCACAGGAGCCCTTCAATAACGTAGCGTCCTGAAAATCAGCACCCTGGTTTCGTTAACACGGTTGCCACTACTCGCGGCCAACGAGAACACGTAAACAACACAGACTTACCATATCGTACAGCCGCTTGGGATCCTTAAGCTGGCTGGACCGGGTGCACTGAATGGAGCCGCTAGCAAACTCCTCGTCCACGCGACCCTGAAACCACCTGCCCAAACGCACAAACAAAGCAACGCGAACGCACGGTTAGCGACGTGAGCCATGTAGCGGAGATGATCATGGTAATGATGATACACTTGTACGCGGTACTCACTCCACAATCGCCTCGGCCGCGGTGACGTGTTCCCGTCCACCAGATGGAATAGCAACACGGACGAACCGCGTGTGCCAATTCTCGTCACCGTCAGTCGACAGGTGGGTGGGGTGAAGCATAATGAGCATGCTCGCGTTCGAGCACTTCTTGTCAGACAAGTCCCTGCACGTTACATTGACGACCGCGTTAAACCACACAATCGAGTGCGTACCCCGTAGCAGTGATCACTCCCAAATAAACACTCACTCGGCCCAGATGCAGAAAGCAACCAGGCTGCACTCCATCACACCGGCAAAGGCCTTGATCGCCTCATCGCGACCCGCGACGATGTCCGCGACCACATCGCTCGTCACGATCCTGACGTGCGCATGCACCTCTTTCTCCAAAAACCTCCGGACAATGACGCTGTACGGGTAGAGGTAAAACACCGCGTGGGAAAGCTCGGACACAAACAGCGCGACCTATAAGCACCGCGGGAAAACGACGCGACATACACAGTCCACTATACATACTGCGGTCATGTCGCGAGCATCCTAAAGAACGCGACCAACAACAACGCGTGCACTGTGGAATCAGGGATTGGGACGCAAGGATCTCACCTTGCGACAAAGTCGAACAGACGGGCCGTGAACGGATGCTTGTCATCAGTGAGCAGCTTCCACTGTTCGGGGGGAGTTCCACCTTGGCTCCCGCAACAGAGATGACGGCCGGACATGAGGCGGCCGCCATCGACCCAGCTCTAAGCGCCTTCATTTCGCGGTTCATCACTGGTACCACCTCAACCGCGCGACTACAGGTACGGGGGATCTTGGAGAACGGTCCGCTAATGATGCTCGCGTTAAGGAAGCAGGAGCTAAGATGAACGCGATCACGCGCGATCGCGGCCACTTAGAGTCTCTACTAGCACTAGGCGATGAAGACCGACTACAGGAACGGGGGATCTTGGAGAACGGTCCGCTAACGATGCTCGCGTTAAGGAAGCAGGAGCTAAGATGAACGCGACCACGCGCGATCGCGGCCAGTCAGAGTCTCTACAAGCACTAGGCGATGAAGACCGCTCTCGTGGAACCGACGAGAAGGAAGAAAACAGGTTGTGAAGGAGGAGAACGAAAATGAGCACCAACTGCCCTTTCCGAGAACCTAAGAGGGGGCCACGAAGGGAATCAAGAAAGGGCACTCGCGGTCAAACAGCGCGGGCCTCTCAACCCGCGCCGCTTCCGATTTTGACGAGGGGAAAAGAGGCTCCGCAACATGCACGCTTGCGCAGCACACGTCCGCCACGTAGCACTCCATCCACAGGATACCGACTCGCGCGGGGAGACTTTTCCTCGTCGCGTCCGCCGAACCCCGATGCAACCATCGGGTACACCAAATCGGCGCCCCCCGAATTAGCAATACACTCCGTCATATTACATGTACACGCGCAGTTGAGTAATTCCCTGATGCATATAAATTAATTTCGATTAATTCATTCCAGTAGAGTACACTCCGTACCGAAAATTACAACTCCACATCCGCTTCGCAGAGAGGCTGCGAGGCTCGTGCGAGCTGTCCGACTCTCGAAAACGACGGCGATTGGCCGGCTCTTTTTCGGGCACCATGGGGACCGTTTCGCACGCGTGGGTCGTCGCCGATTCGCCCGTCGCTCGGAAACCTGCTCCCATTGGCCGGATCCGTTTCGGCCAGCCCGAATTCCCCTTCGCACGCTCGGATTCGCATGCGAATTGCCTCGCGAGGGTTCTCCGAGGGACAAACCACTCGGGAACGTCTCCGATTGGCGGGTTTTGTTTCGGCGCGCTGAGGGTTCGGCCCTCGACATCGGATTGGAGAGCGAGGGGTTTCGCGAAGGGTTTCGCGATCCAGGGCTGGGCCGGGGGGGGGGGACCACACTGCGTGGCGCTGGCGTGGCCCGGGCTCGGCGCGGGACCACCACGCCAGCTGACTCCGCCGCCCGAATCTCGCTAGGGACTTGCAGCAGGGCGGGGGACTCCCGCTCGCGTGCGGCGGCCAGCTGTGGGCCGCGACAGGGCTTGCATCCGCGTGCGGCCCTGGTGGAAACTCGGTTCCACCAGGAGGGGGGCCTGGTGGAAACCGTCCCACCAGGGCCCGGATGGACTGGGAACTACACTACAACAACCACACAGACGACTACAACTTTTGAGCCGACTCAAAAGTCGCCTTGCGTGCGGATCGTATTGCGGACTACAAATTGCAAGATTGTGCCGCAGTAACTGGGAACTACAACCATACAGACGACTACAACCATACAGACGACTACAACCATACAAACGACTACAACCATACAGACGACTACAACCATACAGACGACTACAACCATACAGACGACTACAGCCACTCATGGGTGCACAGCGGGGCATTTGCTGAGTTATGACTAACCTATCGCTGCCCGGCTATGCCACAAATAAACAAACCTGCCGCTCCTTGGCACAACGCCAAGCGCCAATGCTGAGTCAGCAGCACCAGGACCACGAAGCTAATCAGCGCTCCGCATGGTGGGATGCCGCGCGCGCGCCGGGCCATCTTCGCGGGAAATGAACGTGCGGGAAGAATTTCCGAGGTCCCCGCGTCAGCGCGCAGGAACAGCGCGCAGCGTGACAGGAACAACGCCGCGCGCGCCAATGGCAGGATGGCCAGGCGAGTCGAATCAAAAGTATACGACAGTCGTATACGGGCCGTCGATTGTCGTAGTTGAAGTGGTAGTAGTAAACCGGCGGTTTTGGCAACCATGCACGAACAATTCCCAAGGTCCTTGCAGCTGCGGCGGCCGGCAAGGGATTCTCTCAGTTTCCGCTGAGCAGGCTGCGATAGTAGGCGCCACGGGCTTCAAATAGCGACAATGCGGCCATGTCGGATGTTTGCTGCGTCACAAAATTCCTGGCCCCCAAAACATGCCCACAAATGTAGCACTCTTTTAGGGAAGACATCAACGGAATCCCTCCGCGAAAACCCGTTCGCCCCTGCGGGTTTTCCTCGGAGGGATTTTCGTTTTCCCGCAGTCGCCTAGCGGGGCACGCGAGGGGCGGGAGCCACACCCCCCCTCCCGCCCGGAAACGGGCACCCCCAGCTGGCGCCAGCTGCGCGTGACGCCAGCAACCCGCGCCCTCGAGCTGGCAGTGGTCCCCAGCCATACCTCGCCGAGCGACGCATCGCCGACGGAACCAGTCCGCGAAATTTCGCCGGCCAGACGGAACCGACGCCCGTCTGCACCGCGCTCCACCGCTCTACCCCTCGACGGGCCCGTTTCGTTCAAGCCGCTCGATCTTGGTGACGTGTCGAAGGCCCCCTCCCGAGCCTTGAAAGGGGCCTTTCGGCTGCATGCAAGGCGCCCCACCCCATGCAACCAACAACCAGGTTTCACGTCGAGGCCAATAGGGCCCCGCCGGTCTCCGCGAAGGGCTCCTCCTCCCGCGTCTCGGAACGCGCCCTGCCTCCTGGCCCTTGAACCCCCCTGGTCCGTCGCGGTGGGAGGGACGGCAAACAGCTAATACCCTGCGTGCGGTCTCATTTTGTTGCTGTTTCCGATTTTTACTTCACTTCCCTACTTCCTAGTCCCTGCTAGTTCCCAACTTCCCTGCGCGCCCGCACTCTCCGTTGCTAGGACTGACATGGCTACGGGCCCCGCCTCCGTACCCGTCATGAACGAGCCGACGGTTCGACGCGGCGTCATCCTAAGTGCAGGCGGGGTCGAGGTGGAGGTGTACGAGGACCAGCTGGATGCGATTCGCGAGGCGCCGAAAGGGGAGCTCGACGAGAGCATGATGGTCGCGGGCGTCGTGTACGTGTCCTGTCGAGCATTTTCGGTTTGCCATGTTTCGGTTTACCTGTCGCTGACGTTGCCTTAGCTTTCCGTGCAGCCTGTTCTGTCATGAGCTGATGTCCGTCGAGCAGCTCCCCAAGGTGTTGATACTGACTCCGGCACGTGCGCGTGAAGAGTTGGCCCGTCCCACCCCAGTCCCTTTTGCGAGCAACCACCTCGACAGCCTCCTCGGCAAGCATGTGGTTTTCGTTCTGCTCCGGACACCGTGAGTTCGACACTATCCCGTCCTTGCGTGCTCCGTCTTTCGCCCTAAACCCGTTTTCACGTGCATTGGCTCTGCATGCAGAATGAGTGTGGCTCCGTTCTCCCACTCGAGCCTGTTTGTGGTATCGCGCCCCGACGATCTGCTGGCTCCGAGGCACCGTGGCAGTCGAACTCGAATGATGCACTTCGATTCGAAAGAGAAGTTTCCCGATATGAACCACCAATCTTCTCTGGCGCAAGAAGTTTTCGTGTGAGTGACAGCTTTGCCGCCCTGATGTCGAGCTGCTGTTCTCGACAATCTTACTCTTCTCTCTGTTGCGTCGCAGGTGGATGAAGAAGCAGCTTCGCGCCGAGTACGCGATGACCCACCAGGCTCCGACCTTGCACGACCAAGAAGTGTTGAAACTGATCGACCTTCGTCTGGATTTGAACGAGGATTTCGATCTGCTGGTAAGCTCTCCTTAGACCCCCAGTGTTTTCGTCGAGCATGTGATCTGTCGCTTACGTATGTTTTCACCCGTCGCAGACGACGACGCCCTTGTCGAGCCCCTATGAAAATGGCGCGGCAGCTCGTGTCGTGCATGGGGTGCGCCGGATTCTGTCGAAATGGAACGCCTTCATCGAGCAGCCTCGAAAGGGCGATCTCGTGCCTCTCGGGAGAACGAACCCTGGCCCGGGTGCGCTTCCGGTGTTCATGGCCAAGCTGTTTTCGAGAAAGATCGTCCAGGTTGCGGAGGGAGCAGGTGCGGGAGGGGGTGCCGACCACGAGGGAGGAGGCGATGAGTCGGCACGCGTCGTTGTTGAGTACAGCGTCGAGGAGGAGGAGGAGGAGATCGAGGAGGATACATCGAGGCAGGCTCGGCACGGGGCGAGCGGCCGGGGCGGCGATGCAAACATGGACGAGGACTCGGGATCGGGATCGAGCTCCGGCTCGAGCTCGAGCGATGAGTCGGACGAGGAGGACGGCGAGGGCGCCGGACATAGCACGGAGCGTACGGGGGAGCACGGAGTGGCGCTCGGGGAGCGGGTGGACGAGCGGGTGAAGCGTATCGAGCAGCAGGCGACGGGGGAAAAAAAGGCTGTCGAGGAGCAGGTGGGCGGAGCGGCTGCGCAGGAGGGTGGGGTCGGAGGGCAGCAGCAGGTGGGCGAGGCGGCTGCGCAGGAGGACGGGGCAGGAGGGCAGCAGCAAAAGGGCGTGGCGGCTGCGCAGGAGGGTGGGGCAGTAGTGCAGCAGCAGGAGTCTAGGGTTGCGGCTGCGCGGGTGGGTGGGGCGGGAGGGCAGGAGCAGGAGGGCGGGGAGGCTGCTGAGGAGTATCGTCGAGGAGATGAGCGACAGGCCACGGTAACAAGGAGACACCGCACGGCCAGTGGCAGCGGACAGGCGGGCCCTTCGACCGGAGGGCCTTCGACGGCGGGCCAATCGACGGCGATTGTTGCACCCCTAGGCCAGGTCGTCGAGCTTCTGCAGAGGGTCGAGAAAGTCGAGGCGTCGCAGAAGCAGCTCGTCGCCGACGTGTTTGCGAAACACACTGAGCAAGCTGGAGTATTCAACACGCTTGCTGCGGATTTTCGGACGGCCTGGAATACGATTTCGGAGTCGTCGAAGAGCACACTGTCGCGCTGCGCCGAGGCTGTGAAGGGTGTCACGGCGGAGAGGATACTGTTGGAAGGGGCGCGGGCGAAGATC